GGCGGTGAGTTATAATTGATTAAAAGTGATACATTTGTACACGACACGCTCGCATATTCTTTTCTCTGATTGGTAATCTTTATAAGTTTGTGGTGGTGTGATATAGACAATATATGTGACAACGGAATATTATTCTCACACATTTACACAGATCAATTTGACATTAGCAACAGAATACGATATATCTATTTGAACAACCTATTTCATGTCTTTTGATGTAAACCGAAATCACATTTTCAGTTACTGGTTAAAGAATATAAACTGTACAAATATATAAACAGCGGTTTCATCAATGGGAAATGTTCTCTGGCTTCCATGTCTTGCCTTCTGTTGATACAACCTGGGGATATTGTAGTTGTAATTCCTTTTGAAAATTAAGTTCATCGGAAGCCTTCAATTATGAAATCTTTAACAGCTTATCAAATAACTAAGAAAACCTAATGTAACATATTTCCAACATTTTATTCATGATTGCTCTCCACAAATAGGAAAGTAATTGTCTATTACCTTAAATTGGAACGCAGGCAAATATTACTCTGGACATGAAAGCTGAGGATTGTCATTTTTGTTTAAGCCAAAGATGGATATAACTAACAGTCAGTCTGAGTAATATGTGAATGATTCACTGGTTTAAAAATGTGAGTATATTAGCGGATGTTACTAAAGTGAAACGTAATTAATTCAATAATACAGATTTAAATGACGAGACATTGCTGAATGAAATAGCCCTCTGGATTTCTAATAAATCCTTCTGAGTTTCCTAATGCATCCTCAAAATATTTCACTAATTTTGCAAATTTCGTTTACAATTTTCTCGAAAACTGTTAACACGAAGTGGTTGTTTGAGAGAATGTACGGGTGTTGAAAAGTCGCTGAAGGCCTCAACTCATGTTGGATTCTGGTGACTGTTGATTTTAAAGACTACAATATCTCATAAACTATTGAATGTTTACAGCAAAAGCGGCTGAATACGGAATGACTCAAGGTAATACTGTCTGAGTTTAAATGATTCCAAGCTTTAAGAGAGGCACTTATTTTGGTATAATCTTGTGCGATATTCACTTTATATCGGAATCGCTCACGCAGCAGATTGCAGTGAAACAGGTTTATTTAGGTAACTCCGATTTTTAAATTAAACAGTTGAGTAAAACTTCATAAATGTACACACAAAGGGCGCTAACTCCTTTGGGGCATACAATGGGTAAATTTTCGTAATTTCTAAGATAATGCCTGTGACTTGATGGACAAGCATATCTCATAATCGAGGCGATTCCAGTGAAGTGAACTACGTCTGCTCCCTAATAAAATGATGAGTATGGTGTCTTATAAATAGTTTTGCATTCGATTTCATGCGACCTCAAAAAACTAAAAACATGAGGATGCCTCATATCTGCAGTACTATGCAGTATACACTTCACTGATAATACTTCTTGTAAATATTCTTGACTTACTGTTTTCCTCAAAGCTAAATTCTATCCATTGAAGTCATTCCATTTAACTTGGAATTACTTCACAAGTGCTATGTCATCAAGTGTGAATTTCAAGTTTTGAAAATCCCAGCAGCGTGCGTCAGTGGCATATCGGTTATAACGCTCGCCGACCATGCTTATGGTCTGGGGTTTGATCTCCGGCCGGCGCACTCCTTCACCTTACTAAGCCAGAAATAAGGAGCTGTTGAAGAGGTAAGGTTGGGCATGAGGCTGGCAACCCCATCCTGTAAAAATAAACACTGCTACAGAGACTTCAAGCCCCTAGCTTGGAGCCCTATGTTCCACTGGGAACGTGAAGGAATAAAAAAAATCCCAGCAGCATTACTATGCTACATATGTCAGCATAGGAAGGTTACTAGTGCTGGGATGTCACAACCTAAGTCAGGAAACGGTGTTCTATGTTTCAAGAATCCCAAAGTATTGACACATATTTTAAAAAGTTTCGTCTGATATATTCTGTTCAATGTAATGTCAGCCGTACCTACTGATTTCCGGTTTTACGCTGGTAACTTTTTTAGTGCCTGAATGTAGTGATGGTTCCAGAGAAATGTGTGATTGTGCATCATCCTGTTTGCAATTGACCAAATGTGAGCTGGCATGGAATTAGGCTGAGAAATAATCACAGGTGCTTCAACCACAACATGGCATCAATAAATGAAGTTTTCCCAGATGGTTCAAGCCAACCTACAAAGAGTTAATGTGCCTAGTTGTGATGATATGGATCAAAACTGCTCTCAGTGTTGCAGATATATTCACTCTTTGCGACCTCATAAGTAAAATATCGTGTCATGTTTGACAAGGTACGGCTCCTTCTTGTATATATTTCCATCAGTAATAATTCTTCAGAATTTTTCTTCTTTACTGTTAGTTTGTGCATTACCTGATATGTTTTTTTTTAATTTTTGATTACGGCTTGATTCCACACAGTACTTTTCGGTATAAGTATGGAATTTTCAGCATGTGATATCGGAAGCCCAAATTTTGCAGGCCAACCATTGATATCAGGTGTGCGTCGGCAGCGGATTTAACCCCGGACCATCTGCATGGTCGGCGAGAGTCCGGACCATTGTGCTGCCGACGCGAACTGAAATGCTCCCGACTCGTCACCGAGTAACTCATTAAGTTATGTTAGGAATATCTACACCATTGTTTCTAGTGGATATTTTCGCGTGTTTAAGTTGTTCAATGAGAAAGCAGGTGGAGACGTAGGGAGTAGCAGGAAATCCACCAGTGTTTTAGCTGTGATAAGAAGTAGTATACAGACTTAGCGTTTTGCTATTTTATATGCAGAATTGTTGGCTGTAATTGCTTTCTCAATCACTTATTGTGTTTCAAGTGAAACAGATCCGCAGCCAATCGTTTCAGACTTCAAAGGCTTTCATTTTGAAATACCCTTTGAGTGAATTTATTAGTCTCGAAGGATTTGTTTCTATTGCTATTCTGCGCATGTGACGGATATTTGACGACACGTGAAGATTAAGATGTTGTGACTTCGTCGCAGATTGGCTTGAGAAACAATATCGTACGGAAATGACTCAGTAAAGAAATGGTTCCAACACACTTTAAGCGAACAACTGAAGTAAGGAACACAAGTGAATTCAACCCTTTCGAATATCTGCAAGACAGGCCAAAGTCATCGAACTGATCTGCAGTATAAAATATTTTGTCTACAAATAAAGCTTGAACTTACTAATGGATAATCTTAATTACTGGGTCTTCACTGTTGCGATGTTGCAACATAGTTAAACATTTCTCGTTATCACAGGCAAAGCAGTTTGCGGTATATCTAACTTCTGAAAATATGCAACCTAGAAGTGGTTGCTACTTTACCTGGAAAACTGCGCAATGAACTTGTAAAACAGATTCTCAAAGAGAATATCTTTGCTATGTGAAGAGAATGCAATATCTTAAAGTCAAGGAAGGTTTCACAATATCCAATAAAATGTCACGTCAGTTAGCTCATATTCCTGTAGAAGGAACATTATGTTATATAACCAGCCAGCTGACGAATGCATGGCGACGAGATCAATAGTATTATCTTCATAAAAGCAGTTCGCTATGGATTGTATGGTGCAAACGCAAGTCTTTTTCGAAGAAATTACATCAACTTTCTCAAAAGATACTGATGTGGGGAAATGTTGGGTTTATTTAGAGGGCCTTTATTTCATATTGATATATGAACGAATCAATGACAAGTAAAATGCATGTATCTTAGTTTTATTGTTGAATTGTAAACCAGAGTGATTTCTCACAAGAATCTAGCAGGTGTGTTTTTTATTGATCAAACCGCTGTTTATATAAACACAGTTTATAATGTTTAACTAATCTTTGCGTGTGTGGACTCGGTTTACATCAAACAACATGAAAGAGAATGATCAAAGATACATGGTATTCTGTTGCCAATGCAGTATATAACTGTGAGATAAGTATTCTGTTTCCAACATCAAATAGAATGTTCAACTAGATACATCGTATTCTGTTGCTAACGCCAAATTGAACTGTAAGAATATGAGAGAATATTATTCCGATGGCACAATTTGTCTGTATGACACCACCAAAATATTATTGCACCTTACTCAATGACTAGGTCTAATAGCAAGTAAAATCTTTTGACGTTAATTACTTTGTTTTCCCAAACAGAAAAGAAACCAAGTTTTCATTGAACTAGCAGTTGTTATGCATTTGAATGAAACTCATTTCTATTCATGAAGTACTGGTTAAAACGGATATCTGATAAAGTTCTGAACAAAAAATGAGTTCAATATTCAACAAAAGCACAATTTTCTACATCAGCTACATAAAACGGTTCTTTGGCCTTGACTTCGTAGGTGCCATCACTGAACTACCGTTTAACCAATTCCAACAAAGGATTTTAACAAACTTAGCTTTCTCCATCTGATCTCGAGATAGCTGATTTTGATAAACGATGTCACACTCTCCAGAAGAATTTACTAATCGAAATGCACTCATAAAGTTTGCTACTGCAGGATTACGATCAATCTAATGCACCGTTTCAAGCTACATCCATAGATTGGTGGAAGTCACTTGATGAATTGGGATATGAAGTTGTCATTCCTAAATCTGTTAAGTCATCTCAACAATTTAAAGACAGTGTTACATTGGCTGGTTATTACAGTGTAACCAGTGTCATACCTTCAAACTTTGATATTGTTGCGAATTAAATTGATGACTGAATCGCACATTTGACCACAAGAAATCAGTCTGCATCAATGCAAAGAATGAGTAACATAAATAATCAATCCTTCCACTGTAATCCTTCTAGACAAAAAGTCGTTGAGCTCATTTGGGTCAGCTATAGCGTCTGCAATTGCAGTACTGCCTGATAGACTTTCAAACCTTAAAGGAGTCTTCAGTTCATTGAAGGTGATGTGTACCAAAAATCACGAAGGCTAGTTCAGGTACTTCCTCATTTCTATCTTCAAGTATCAATCATATGAGGGATTTCTAGATGACGTTTCCATTCCCTCATTCTCTGTCCTGACCTTTTCACTACCATATTGCTTCTAAATTTTGGACTGAATTCATTCTTGACTCGGTTAAAACTGTAGAATCATAAGAAATGGCAACTGCATAGGTAGTTTTAAATGCAAACGATTTTTCATTTCTTTTCTTATCGAATATTGATTTTTGAGCTTCCTTCATTGAAATAGCAGCAATCTGTGGATAATCAGTTTGCATTCTAAGGGGAATAGTTCAATATACGTACACCTACTCACATATTGATTTCCTGGATAGATGACTTCGCCATATTATTCATAGAGACATTCTGCTGAATTTCACTTTTCAGTCAGTCTGTATTATAAGCGATGAGTGATTCGTGTCTCCTTGGTGAAACCACGCGAAATAGTCTTGAACAGACATACTGATAACAATACTGATAACTCCCAGCTAGTTTGTACCAAAATAAATCGCTTTCTGTCGGGAGTCAGTAAATGGTCTGAGTCTAACGGTCTTAAACTGAATTCTTCTAAATGTCAAACTGTTAATTTCAGCTTAAGATGTAAACGACAGTTACAAGAATCCATCGATTCTCATGACAGTTGTAAGATTGATGACAATGAAATAGGAATTAAATCAGAAAATAAATATCTTGTACTTATTCTCTCTTCTGATCTCTCCTGGTCTTCCCATGTCTCAGCGATCTCCAGTAAAATATTCCGCCTGACATTTTACATTAAGAAGTTAAGGCACTCGGGTATAACTCAACCCCTCCTCTTACAGTTCACAAACTCTTGCATCCTACCTATTCTTCTTTATTGTTCACCCTTATTCTTTCCTGGTTTGCTTAAAAAGGACTTTGTCACAATTCGTAGAATGCTGAAGACTGTCAGTAGGATGAGTGGTGTCCCAGTAGACCATTTGGTTAAAGTCGTTGTCGATACGCACTTGACTTCATGCAGTAAATTTTCTAAAGGGATTTTGTCTGACTTGGAGCATCCACTTCACCCTCAGCTTACACCTTGCATCTCCTCAAGTAGAACAAGAAGTAACTTCAGAAAACTGTAAGCTCGCACGTCTAAGTATGAAAATTCTATGGTACCATACTTGGCACGTATTTTATGTGATGAAAATAGTGTCAGACGGGAATTGACTAGCCTTTTTCATCTAGTAAATAAACAATCTCCTCCTTCCATCTTTATATACCTTCAAGTTTTACTTTTATTATTTCTATTATATTTATGGTCCTGTTGATTCTTTGTTTTCACTTTCATAACTGCGAACACCAACTTATCTCTGTGACTGCTGTAATCTTTGTTTTTTCCCTCACCATATCATGTAAAGAGAACATCATATTCAATATTTTTATTCATGCAAGGATTTGTATACCGCATCGACAATACTGTGTGAAACAAGCCCACGGCAATTTTCACTTGTATTATTAATATTATCTTAGCTGCTATCATCATTATTATTTCCATTTTATATGCTGCAAGTTTTTTATTTTTTATATTTCTTTATATTAACCCTATTGTAGATGTAGAAGAATTTTTTGTGTGATTAATTTTACCTATAATTTGAGGAAATTAGATGCAATATTCTCATTAATGCTGAAAATTCCATTCTGTATCACAAGTACTGTTTTTGGAATAAAGTAAATCATTAATAATATTATTTTTAAAAAAAATGAATTCCGTCGTGGTATCTTCAATCCAACCTATCAAGGAGAAAATAAAAATAAAAATTTTACACAATTTAGAATAGTTTCAGATATTTCTGTTTATAAACATTCAGTGTCACAGGAACATTTGCTTTTGTCACACTGTCATTATTATATCACTTGACAAAACATTAGAATAAGTCGGTAACTCTGTGACAACATGTGAAACAAACTTCTGAGTGGAATAACGAATATAGTATAACTTGAAGACTCAATCTGGTGACAGTTTTGTCATCTTTGTAACCATAATAACAATTATTATATACTGACAAAACTTCAAATATCGATACAGCAGCCATACTTCGATTCTGTTCAAAGTGTATCTCAAGTGTCATGATTAGCACTTCAAGTATTTTATCCACTTGCAAAATATCATCACTGTCCTGTTGAATTCCACCTCTGCGCCAATATTCGACATATGAGTGATTGTAATCAAACAACAACCCATTTTTATAACGAATTTTTTTATTTTTCTACCTCACTCTGTTCATCAGTTGAATCAAAACCATGTCACTTGTTCTGTGAATGCTTTCACACGTGTTTAAGTGATCGCGGAAATACTGGTTCAATACTCGTTCAGAAGTAATAGACATTGCTACAAATTTTGCAGTTCCATATGGTACAAAGTAATCGGAAAACGGATATTGAATGAGTTTCTAGATGAATCAGTTTAATTTGACAAATTTTATTCCTCGTGGAATAGGACTTGAGCAAACAACATCTTATTTAGTTGTCCGTTTATTGACTAATAATACTATTTAACCTTCAGAATTCACCTATCGTTTGTAACATCATGATGGAAGTAATTTCAAATTGGTGAATTTATGGCTTGGGTTTATGGTTATGTGCTCTATTGTAAAATGCCAACTGTTACAATATTTGAAATGAGAATTTCGACTTAATTGGACACTTGAGGAGTGCAGAAACACCAACTGAGTACTTCTACAAAAGGAATAAGTAATCAGTGACATGCTGTTAGTATTTGCGATGCCGATTTTAAAATAAACTTACTTCAAGTTTTATGGGCGCCGTAAAACTGTTTCCTGGAAAAGTGATAAAACCTTCGTTAACAAACCATTGATGTTAAAGATTAAGTCAACATGTAACACTATCCACTTAGGCTATATGTCAAGCTGTACGTTTTCTCCTTTTAAATGGACAGCAAACCACCAAGGTCTAATCTTTGCAGTTTTATACAACAATAGTAGTGTGGTGAGAGCTGTCTACTAGCCAAGTGGTTGACAGTAAATGAGGTCAGTGTTTATGTATCAAATATTAGTCATGTTGTGGTGAGAGATGGTTGCTAGCCAAATTGGTTGACAGTAATTGAGGTCAAGGTCAAGATGGACAGGCGGATACAGAACTGACACATCCACAAGAGATGCAAGGTTAACTTTGTGTGAGAAACAACCAATCAACAGACTGCATTTTCTACTAACATTAACCTACAATAATGTACGTCAAGATCTATAAAAATGTATTGATTTTCCGTAATAAACTTTCTGTTGCCTGGACCCTGTCTTCTGTTGTTACAGTAGTAGTCTCTTATACTCAGGAAGTCAGAGGTCAAACATCTTTTATTACAGAACAGTTATCTTCCCATGTCAAGTAAGAATTATTGTCTTTCGATCGTGGTCGATACATTGTTTCATGACTTCAGATTACTTTTACGTGTCAAGTCCTAATCTTGACATTTCACTTGAACTGTTCTCAGTTGATATGAAGTAATCACATTCAAATATCAAATTGCAAAAATTAAATACAAAGACTCACCTATCCCGGTAGAGAGCTTCCCTATTACATGAAAGACTAAAGTTATTAGGGCCAAGGATATTCAACCTCATGAACTAGACAGTCAAACTTTCTACTAAAAATTCTGTCTCTTCTTAATGTTTTGGTGTATAAGCAAATAAGATAGTCAATAGTTAGGTGCTATGAATCAATCGCTATACAGGAAGCTTTATTCACAATTAAAACACTAACGTTGGGTTTGAATGCTAGCAGTTTCAAAATCGATAACGCATATCTATACTTTGGAAGTAGTTAAAGAATGTTCCACATTGTCTCTTTACATCAACATTGTGAAGCTGACAAATGCAAAGGATTATATTTCAAGGCTACGGTTATGATTTGCCAGTTCATTTGTCAATTACTTCCTTTATCACAATATCTTGAGTGTGCCTGAACTGAAAGATGTATTGCTCTAAGAGAGAGATTCCATTTCTACGAGGTGAATACGAAATATCTGCCGATCGTTGACTCATTTAAAAAGGCACTTATGGTAACTGAAATTACAGTCAACCATTCCCCCATTCAAAAACATTTCTCTAATGATACATATTGACTGGTATGCTTGTGACCGCCAATCGTAGACGCAAGTGGCCTTTATATGAGGCGTATTACAGTTTCATTATTATTATCATCACTCAAATGTCATCTCACCTTCCATTATTACATCTCCGAGAATTTAATGTGATTGTGTGAATAGTTTTCAATAAACAGGCAAATTAAGAGAAATGAAAATCATTCAACAAACGCAGACGTAGTATCAACAGATAATCAAGATGTCTTACCGATGACCCTGAATCTGCCTGTTAATAAAAAGTCAATTCAGGAAATACAATGTACGGATATTAAATGTTATGAAATTCAAGACTATTGAAACTGAAGTAGATCCAGTTGTCTATTAAACATGAATAAATAACTTATCACTGTACTGCGATGTGACACCCAGGAGCAGCATAAGACAGTCAATCGAAATAGTTATCATGGATGGGGTTTTGTATCACCATTTGTGATAGTAATTCAGCAATACTCCATTATGGATAAGATTTTATTCTGATAAATCACACAGTGTTACACAGTAATATTAACTGATGATGTTTCGAGCACGAATTATTGCTCATAACCATATCAAATTACTCACACAACTTTTTCCTTCATTTTATTACTGTGCATTAATATTACTGTGTAACACTGTGTGCGATTTATCAAAATCAAATCTTATCCATAATGGAGTTACACTCTACCACAGTGCCCAAGTTGTATACTTATATCAATAACTCAACAATGCGTTAGTTCATCAGAGTGCTTTTGTGATTTTGATATGATTATGTGTGTATTTTCAAGAGAAGGCAGTTTGAAAGGAATGCAAATAACTCTGGAGAAACAGGTAGGTAATCACAGTCACTTATTTATGTCAGTAAACTGGTCTGTTGTTGTAAAAACAATGACTGTAACGATTTGCTGTCAAGAAATTCCATGAATTTGCATCACAAAGAAACTAAGCATACTAATTGAAAAATCTAATATCACTAGTGAAGCAATCACTGTACCTTAATGATTTATTTGGATAAAATGCACAAGAATATTGCATAAGTGTTATTTAAGTGAAAATGAATGACGATGATATGTATGTGCATCTCCGATGAACATTCTAAAGTACCGGAACAAGAGTTGACTATCAACATCAGTGTTTTATGAAGCTATTTGTCTTACATATACGCGTGTAATGTAGCAATCCATTACAAGCACACATTATTGCGCCAATGACCTCTTAGTAAATATCAGGCCAGTGATGGCTTTTTACTTCACCTCAA